GAAAAACACTCGACTACGTCTCGTGTTTTCCCCTACACTTCTTTCGTGCTCTACCGCTTCCTGCGTGCTTTACAACAGAACAAAGCACAGTCGAGGCTTCTTTATTTATTAAAAAGAGAATTCTTTCTTTCCTCTTTTTTTTTACAGTTCAGTACGGAATGTTTTTGTATGGTTATCTCAAGGAATGGCGTAAAAATCCCCATTGGTCTCTTTCTTGTTGTCTTGCATTGCTTCTTCCTCTCAACGATTTGCAAGGAGAAATAAGTGGTTTGGTTGGGTCTGGTGCAAACGTGCTCGATAACCAGCTGCAAACGGGGCAAACAGAAGATACCACTATTTTCGCCGCCGTTAAAGACAGCGGAGCTATTGATGTGAGCCTTGAGGAAGGTCGGCAAGATGACGAGAGCAAAATGGAGGATCAGCACGAAAAGTGTTCAGAAGCCGAGCCCGGCAAAACAAAATTTCATAAAGGGTCACAGACGGACCTATTTGTGCTTTCAACAACTCAGAACCTAGTAGGTGTACATGGTCATATGCATAAAAAAACAAAAAAAAAACAAAAGCAAAAACAACAACAACAACAACAACAACAAAACAAACCAAAAAGCAAGAAAAGTCTCTGTAAGCACAATATACAGGAACTACTGAGATACTGCATGAAATCAGCTTAAGAATTCCCAGAATTCCCAGAACTTCAGTGGTTCAAAAATAACAGTAGACTAACATAGACCGTGAATTTTTTTCTAATGGTCTACTTCAAATATGCATCTGGCCTAACTTGGTGTGAGCAGCAGGGTAATGGCTATAATAACTGCCCTAAAATAGAGAAATAAATTGACAGCCCAAATAAAATGATAGGCAAGCGTAATGACTTTTAGCTAAGATTAACCGTCTATTTTAGATATTCAACAACGGGACGCTTAAGAGGTCAAATTGACGATCCCCACCTAAAAAACACTTGTTATGCGTGAGTTATTTCCACAGGAAAAAAAAAAATATATTCCTTTCCTTGCAGGGATCGTTACACCTGTCCAGCTTAGGAGAGGAAGAGGAACATGAAAAGAAGATGTGACTGTTCTTGATCACAGAAGCTCGTATAGCCGACAGAATTAGGAAACGAGACTTAACAAAGGCTGTATAAGAGAAGTTTGGTTGGTTAGATTGAGAATTAAATTGCTGTTCATGTTTGCAGCAGTTGATCACATTAACTTTAATTACCTGTCAGAAAAAAAAAACCATGTAACATGCTCGATGTGTTAAGTCCTTGATTAAAATTAATGAGCGTAAAAGAAAAATTAGCCAAAAGATATATTCGTCGTGTCCCGTCTATGAACGGGAAAAGATACTAATAAAAAGCATATTTAGTGGTTTATTAGCATGTCAACAGCATTGATCAATATAAGTTTGTGTACGGTTTTGATAAAAGCAAAGTTGAATGGTTAGGAGTCTAAAATCTTTAGATATCTATCGAATGTACCTAGAAATTGATTATCCTGCTAACTTCGAAGGAAGGCAAAGGCAGACACATTGACTTGAGTTTTACTAGTTGAGTATTTATCAGTTGTGCTTACCGACTAAGATACCGGTAGATGTAGACATTTCACTGTCGACATTTATTTATTAATTTAAAGCAAAGGTCACCAAGCTTCATTGATTTAAACTGAAGCAATTGTCCAGTATAGTAGGATACTCTTTGCTTGCATTACTCAGCTATTTAAAAAAAAAAAATTAGACAGTTGTTTAGATCTTCTGTATACTTAAGAAGAAAGCAAATGCCATGAAGTAATCCAGCTACATGTATTTATTATATTGTAATTGTTTTAAGCCTGTGTCATGGTTAGCATTAAACCTGTTTCTTGTGTTTGATTCTTTGCTTTGTTGAACTTTTGCTTTGCAAAAATGGTTTTTTAATGTTGGAACTCAGAGAATAGTGTGCGAAAGAGTAAAATCTAAGGAAGGAGTAACCATTTTGCCTTGTCACCTTCCTAGGCTGAAAACTGAAGGCACAGATTTCAACCCATTTAACTTGAATTTTCACCTTGTTATTCTTGATGACCAACATACTAATGAGGTTTATTTTACAGTACAAATAATTATTTTCGTCATTTCTCTCGCCTAGGTAACCTTATCGTCCTATAAAACGTTAAAAAGTCCTCTAAAATTGGCTAAAAGTTGTCAGATTGAGAAAGATAAATTCATATCAACAAAGTGAAAGTTACTTCAGAAAAGTACGTTAACAGAAACAAAATACAAAAGAAATAGGAAAACTCAAGAATTCAAGAACTGTCTGTCAAAAAATTACTGCCTTGTCACATCAAGGTCCTTCATGCTCTCACAATTTCAGGAAAAGGCACTGATTTTGAAATCTATTGCTCCAATGCTTGTAAAATTGCTTTAAAATAATACGACCAAAATGTGTCTTGAAAAGCTTTTTTTGAATTTACAAGGATTCAAAGTTTTGTTGATTTCCTGTTTCTTTTACCGTTTTTCTGATTCTTTTTAGGCTCTGCCACTGCGTGGTGAACGTTCCAAAAACAAATTCTATTGCAATAGAGCTGTTTCTAAGCTTTTTGAAAAAGTATTCAGAACTGTCCGAAATTTATAGTGAGAGTGATTTAACCAAAACTCGCGCTATCGTGACCCCGTAAAAGAAAATCAAGGCACTCTTTCGCATTATTTTGATGCAAATTCATCAAAATAGTGTCTATCTGTAAATACGGAGAATCCGACGATAGGGTTGAAAATTCGAATTTTCTTTTATTTCGTCAACGAGACCCCTCCTGGTGAACTATATTCAGAAACAAACTTTAAAAGTTTTGGCCATTTCGCATTTTTGTGAAATCTAGGAAAGTTCGGAATACCAGTTGATCAGTCTAGATGACCCGGGGAATTTTTGAAAAATGGAACATCGGCCAGTACAGAAGAAAATGAGAGTTGTCTTGATTTCATACTCGTGCAATTTTTAATTTTACTTTAATCATTTTTAAGGGTAAGGGGCGGGTCGTTCAATTTTCAGCTATCCGTGGGGGCGGGTCATCCTGTTTTATAACAGAAATTGGCACGCATTTGACACAGCAAACAACAGAGGTGACTTTTTCCAGTTCCTTAGGATGAAAAGTGGCTGAAAAAGTACACTTGGCTGTTGTACAATAGACGTTGCAATTTCATGTATTATAAAATCTGTACGAAAGCTAAGAAGTCTAACGAAGTGAGAAAGAAGTCCCAGGGCGGACATTTTCAAAAGTACTGCGCTCTTTCGACGTGCTGGTCTCCAAGAACACCAAATGGACAACTTGTGTCTATATGCTATTTGTCCCCCTAGGGTAGGAGACACATGTTCATAGATCTGGGACTCACAATCTTGGGCCTGGGACTCGTAGTTTACTGGCTTTGTGAGTACCAGGGGTCAAGGATGAACAGTCTCACTGTGAGGGAGTAATTTACCTCCTTCCAGTCAACCGAAAAAGACAATAGACGGATTCGGCGAACGTGTTTACATGCTTGTTGCCACCCAATTGAGGTCATGTGATGATTCATTTGGGAGGTTACAATTGTTCTGTTTGTACATACTGCCATGCAATCAGTTTTGTGTGACAGATTGCACAATTGTAACCTCCCAAATGAATCATCGCATGATCTGATTTGGGTGGCAACAAGGATGCAAACACGTTAGCCGAATACGTCTTTACTAAGTATTTACAGCAGAGCAGTCTACGATATCTCATAGGGAAGGGCACAGGAAGTACTTACCAGCCAAAAAAAATAAAATAGGATAAGTTGCCTTCACGTATTTAAAAAAATCAGTAGAACTTAGAAAACAACAGGTTAAAAAAATGGAGAGAAAAAAAAATTATCAAACCACTCTCCAGGTCAAATTTATTGAGAAAGAAAATATATTCTCCTTGATGTACGAGCAATTTTTTCCCGAAATCAGACCAGAAACCGAGAAAATCTGGAATTATCTTGAATTTTTTTTTCGAGATGTAAACAGAAGTATTACATTTTAGTCACCTTGGGAACCGCGATGTCGGTATTAAAGTTATGTAAATTAGTGTCAAGTTACGTGGCCCCAAAGAAACGCTGCAAAACGGAGATTTTTACAAAGTGGTTGAGCTCTATTCATCGTAAGATGACTCAAAATACGTATTTCGATAAGTAAGCGAGATTTTAAATCTAAAACTGGTGATGCGAAGACTTTTTAGTCGCATTTCACATCGCGTCAGGTTGGATCGTTTAGCTACAATTCTTGAAACGATTTTGGAAATTACTTTCTTGGATACTTACGATAGCTTCCGAGTTTTTTTTCTTCTTTTTTTCTTAAGAAACCATCTTCATGATATTTGAAATCGTCTTAAATTTGTTCCGACCGTCTTCGCCATTTCGAAGCGAAATTGCTTGCTCTTGAAAGAGTAATGTGGATCATCTTAAAGCAGGCCAATGCGTTCATATTTTATAGCTATGGTATCACTAGTGAGCCATAAGAAAAATATTCGTAAAAAAAAATGAGTTCACATTTGATTTGCCCCATTTTTGGAAGGCAGGAAGTTAATAAAATTACTCCTTTACTGGCGGATTTTGGGCTAGTGTTAGTGGATTTAAATATCATTCAGATTCATAAGAAGGACTTGCCACGGGAAGCTTCGTTTCTCCACAGACGACATCGCCTACACTATGTAGCTTTCTTCCATCCTTTGGAAACTTTCTTCTGAAATAACGCGGGGGATAAAGTGATTCACAAGAAGATAGCTGAGCAAGACGTAGAATCGAAATTTTCAGCTTTTGTGGACGCCATTTTCATGTCCACTAAGACTTATTTTGTGCAATTGTTTTGATTTTTTACCTTTATTAGGGCAACATTAGTTTTCGCTTTTGTAAATTTCTCGACTTATTTTTCTGCCAGTTTGATCGTCACTTTCATGAACTTAAATACGCGAAAACTAAGGCGCACGGAAATAAGTACGAGTAAGACACGTATTTGACAAAAGGAAAATGAGAAAGATTCACTACTTTCCTCCGACACAATCTGAACAAACAGTAACGCGAATAAATAATGCAAATGCACCATTGTGCCTCTTTGTAACTTGGATTTAGCCAAACAAGCAGAACTATACACTGTACACTGTACAAGAATTACTCCAATTTCATGGCGCAAGGAGTTTCGAAACACTTTACCACTTTCTTTTCAGGTTTAGAGAATTTGAAGATACTTTTCTTTGTACCTAACAGTACAGACAGCAGGCTATACCAACTCCAAACAGTTGTTTTATTATTAGAAAACACCAAATATATGTGAAGCTTAAATCGACCTTTTTCGGTTTTCATCACTAAAGGCTACTTGTACAACTGAAACGAATAAGGATTTGTACTCGAGTCATTTCAAAGTATCTCTACAGGTGCTACAGTACAATTCTCCCAAAACTAGTTGTTCCGTGAAAAGGGGAAACTTCTGCCCTCAGCAGCATCCAGAATAGACTTTCTTATTCTATATTGGTTTCCTTCTGTCTTTGTCCTTAATTTTCGCGAGATCCAAGGATTGTGTCAATGACATCTAGTAGCAACAAGTAGTAGAACCCTCATCTATTTTCTCTAAACGGGGTTTAATGTACGGGGAGCTGTCGTTCAGGGATATAACTGGTAAGAGTCATAATGCTTCTTTGCGATATAGGTGTGAGTGCTCAGCCATTCAGGGCTATATTCAAGACAGTCCTGTAGAATCGTTTTCAGCTTGTAATAAAAATTTTCACTTTTGTTCTCCTTGGCTTTTAAATTTTTAAACTAGAAATATCATTAATGGCTTTCAATGCTGAAAGCGCCCAGTACAAGCAAACATCAGACTTCAGTTTAGTTCTAAAATGTTACACTTTTTGTCTCTGTTTCTTAAAAAGAAGCCGGCAACTCCGGTACTCCCAAATTCAAATGATTATCATTATTGAATTTATTACTTCGTCTGTGTAATAAGCAACATGGTTATAGCTAAAGTCAAGGCCAATGAAAGAAGGAAACCCTTTTAAATTAAGACGTCCAGTTTCTAAGTGATGAAACACAACAAGGACCATTTTATAGCTTGTATGGATCACGTTTCCTAGCTAATACATAGTGATTAGAGTTGTAATAAATATTCGTCCAGCTCTGGTTATTGACGAAAGTCAAATTCAAGCTGTGTTCCATACGTTGCAAAAATACTTTTATTGTCCGTTTTTGATTTCTTAGCAGATAGATGCTGTACGTTGACCGGCTATAACTCATTAATGGCAACTATTCTTCTTTTTTCGTTTTCTTTTCTGTTCTTTGGAATAAATCTGAATAAGAAGAGAGAGAGAGAGAGCGCGCAAATTAAGGAAAGTCTTCATACAAGGTGGTTACACTTTCATTATTTCCTTTAATCTTGCACCATTAAAGACTTCCACGCTTCTCTGTGGATTCACCGTAATTCAGTCCATTCAGAGGGTTTCATTCACGCAGATAATAAATTCCACTAAGCTTACATGTAACATAACCTAGCATCTCTGAATCCCCAAACCTGCGTGGGTCATTGTTTGTATGATGTCTCCGTGTTTAAACAGTCCTTACAGTTGTTATATATCAATGGTTGTATTTCAACAAGAGGAATATGCATTTGAGAATGCAAAGACAGGTGACAGGCGAACGACTTTCGTTGGACATAATCAGAAAGCACAGGTTAGAGAACACATAATTCCTCTGTGCTTCTTAAAAAACACCTTTCGTGGCCTTTGTTCACCCGATCTTGATTATTTGTGCAGAAAATAATCTTACTTGAGGATGCTTGTGGCTGCTTGCCTGCTTAAGAGGTTTACATAACGCGAGTTCCCTGCATATCACGGAAATGCAAAACATTAGAATTCATAGCAACTTGATATAGTCCCTTCCGAAACCTCCAATGTTTGTGCAACGTTATTTGTACACCGTTTCCATGTTGAAAGATGCTGGTACTGGGTGAACATGTTCTTCGGCAATGTGATCCACATCTGAAAATAAAACGTTTTAGAAGATTCTCAGTTTTCGTTGAATACAGTCTGAACAGACGTGTAAGCAAATATCTGTAGATACACTATTGTGATTGTTGACAATCGTGCTTTGAATCAAACAAAGAGAACGTAATTTGAACTTTCCATCGATCTTTCTTTGCTGATTCAGTCAAGGGTAAAACTGGATAGAAACGTAAACACTGACACTTTTAAATGATCTTCAGTTACAGAAACATAGAATTTTCAGATAGCATTCTCTCCGGCTGAAGTACATACACAGGATCTAATGTTTCGGCCAACCGTTAGATAAGGAACTGTCTGACTCATTTTAATACGGTGTCAGCAGCAGTTGTATCTTGCTTAAAAAAGAAAAAGTTCGACCATGTTTTTCTCTGTGGTTGTTGTCTTCCTGCTTCTTGTCTCCTGCAGAGCTGCTAGCGATCTTGATCCCGATAATGAAGGAGAGGACGAGATGGAGGTTGCTGTGGTAAGTTTCAGCTCCAAATAAAGATACTTTGGTAACAACATCAAGTACGTAAGCAAAGTATATTTTTTTTGCTACGTTGTTAGTGGAGCAAAGTCAAATTTCAGCTATTATTTTCATTTTTGTAGTTAAACGCTGATACTATGAACAATTTTTTTTTTGTTAAATAAGACCTTGCTGAGTTATTTTTGAGAATGGTGCTTATACTGATAAAGATTTCCTCATTAAATCTGTGTTGTTTGTCATTAATTACGAGCGCAATCAATTCACATTATTCGGAAATGAGTAAATGAGTCATTTTCTTAGATTTTAACTTCAATTCTTTTTTCATTTACGCAGCTATTCATGTCGTTGAAAGGCATTTAAAAAAAGGAGACAGTTCGAAGTATATTCAGAAACACGATTGGAAGCTTTAGTTTGGGAAATCTAGAAATCTTTTTTTTTTTTTTTTTTTTTTNCTTTTTTCTATTTTTTTTTTTTTTTCAGAAAACAGCTCAAAGAAAATAGCAAACGACGTGACGTCGTGATTTTCTTCTTTTCGCTAACCGGTAACTTCTCAATAACAAAATAACGGAAAGCTATTATCACTTTCAATGTGTAACATCATATAAGTGTTTCTCTTGAATCTACCTAAGTCGAGTTACATTTTGCTCAAACAATACACGCAATAAAATAATTGCATTTCCTAAACAATAGATATACATATTTGATGTAAACTGAATGGCCTGAACTAAGAAGAAACACGTATCTTAAACAAGGTCAAAAAGATGTAATCCGGCAAAAATTATGATTCCTCGATATTTCATTTGTTAAGGACGGTGCCTACTTTTGTTAGTGCGCACACGTTCTGCGCATCGCGCAAGCCATGGTTTAAGCGCCACGCGCACGCTGGGGTTGACATTGACGCAGTCAACTACAAGTACACGACTACAATGAAAGCAAAAGAGGAGAAGTGCTCGCCTACGAGAGGTGGTCGCAACCGGAGGTTCGAGTGCATTTTCGAGGGGGTTGAATATTGGAAGGGATTTTTGGGTTCTAATATTCTGGGCGACAGGGAAAACTAACTTTCAGGGAAGAAGCTTATAAGCGGAAATTTTTCGGTGCTTACCAATATCTTACTGACATTTTCCCGATGCTTAATGCGATACGTTACCGATACGTCACTAGTACCTCGGCTTGCCGATCGTGCGTCGGTAAAGAAACTTATACTGGTCGGGAATAAACCCTAACCGCTGCCCATCAATGTAGAGCCATAATCAGTTTTAATCACCCACTGAATTTATTTTTTCAACATGTTCTGAACATTACGTTTACATTACAAAGTTTATATTGTTCAGAGCAGAGCTGAAATCGTTTCCTGCGCATCGATTCAATAAAGGCTAGCGTAATACCGGAGTATATTATAGATTTCACCATGTATATGACGATCTTATTAGAATTACCTAGCTGTAGATAATATTGTTATTTTATTGCTAACTTCTTTTAACTTAAAATTTCTTATTTAATTCTAATACACACAGCTTCAATGTAAATCAGTGGTTAACTGTTTGAATTCTGTGGTGATCTTCATTTATTTATTACGAGACGTTATGTCAGGAAATTAATGGAAAAGGAAGAATTCGAAGTCAAATCAGTATAATTATACGATTTTCATGGATACCGCTATACTTCTCGACGTCCTCTATCGTAACAAGTAAATGGTTCATGTTCCCTCTAAAAAAGTGAATCTGTCAGTTCCTACAATGCAAGAAATGCGACTAATTTTTGCTTATGTGACGTATATCTTTTTGTAGAACGTGTACAATTTTGTAGAACCAACAAAGACCATTGACTGTTTTCAGTTCACCAGTACTATTTGTCGCACTGTAAGCATTATAAACCAAAAAACCTATCGAGAAGCACATGTTTGCTCCGGCCTGTATTTACTATTTTCCTCCTTCCCCTTTTTCGCTTGTATATAGCTACCTCTCGTGCGTATATATGACGGAGATGCATGTTACCCCCTCTCTTAAGGAAATTGAATCCGTGAAGCTGGAACTTTTAAGTAGCTTTTCATTCATACCTCGTAGAAATGTTGATGTGTCACTTTTTTTTTCTCTACACATATTCTTAAGTTATACATTAACACTAGTTTACCTTCGCTCTTGAAACCGAGCAGAAGGACATGGGGATTGCCCTTGCAAGACGAAGGTGGTTTGGATCGGTTACGTGCATTCAGAGAGAAATTATCTAAAGTTGCTCTCAGATGGACAGCAGGGGATAAAAGGAAGAGGGGCCGTCCCAAATCGACCTGAGGGAGGCAGAATTTCAGGCCCTAAACCTTAATTAACTGGGAGCAAGAGAGAGCAGGAGATAGAGGACTCTTGTCCTATGCGGTACTTTGCATATAAAGGAGAGATGAGAATAACTACTTTACTGGGGCCCTGTCTCTGACCCCAGGGGTGCCAGCTGACGATCGAGAAGTTCGACTGTAGTGCCAACACAACAACAAAAAATTAACCATGGCATTGTTATGTGAGACCGTATCATGGATTACTGTGAGTGTTACCTTTTTTGTGAACAAATGCATGAAAAACTAAAAATAACTGCGGCGATAATTTTTGTCTAGTGATCCTCATAAGACGTCTAGCGATCCTCAATAAAGAGCATCGGGAGCATTCCCTTCTGTTGCCAAAGCCAGCTTCGTGCCATCTGTTGGTTCTTCGCTCAGTTCCTCTACTGTTTCAAGGGACGATTGATGTCTTCCATCTGTATCATCTGTATCATCTGCAGTCCAGCTGGCTCTCTCGATATCTTCTGGCAGCTGAAAATTAGGGTTAATTGATAGTGCCAGGCTTCTGAGTAACTTGTTCTGTGCCTCCAGCATATTCACAACTGACTTTATCCTCTTCTTGTTCTTCATCATCCCGTCTCGTAACTCAGTGAGTTCAGTTGGTTTGTTGTCCTCCGCCAATGGCTCTGGAGCGGCTTCAGCATATCGTGATTGTAGCCACTCCATTACTCTGGAAATTAAGTAGAACAAGAACAAATATACAGGCTATATGTTGTCGTCACCATTAGGAACGTCCGTAACAGACTACGAGACCGAGTTTTCTATCAGCGAATATCGCTAGCATAGAACGAAGGAATTAGTGTACTTAATCTTGTAAACAATGCAATGACGGCGACTATGATTGATGTTTTTGTTCTAAACAAAACTGTCAAGCAAGCCTTAGTACCCTTGGCAGTTCGTTCTCGGGCTGATAATTGCCGTATTTTTAGAGCATGAAAATTTTAAGGGAAAATACTTAGGATGGGTCCCACCATCTTTAGTACTAGCCGATGAACAAACCAATCAGATTCGCGGAACCACCATAGAACACTACAAGTGTTCTTAACTGTTTAACCTCGTGCAAAGTAATTAATCAAGATTTATTTTTGTTCTCTTCCTCTCGTGCTCTTCTGAAAATTTATACTTCATGATCATAAGCTAAAACAAGGCAATTGACGGCCTTTACGGGTAAAAATATATTTTAAAAATGACCATTCAAGGTATGGATCCTTTTCGACAGTTTCGACAGAACGTCATAGCCGTTGAAAAAAAGCGACTTGTGCTTTACGAAAGCCAACAAATACAAAGACACCTAACCAAAAAAAAGAAAAAACGAAAACAGTCGAAGAAAGAAAAAGCAAGCAAAGAAGAAAATACAAGAAAAAGCGGTACTTCTATTATGATATCAAAGTCTTGCACCCTGAAAAATTTATTTTGAAAGGTTTCCGACCAAGTAATTTACAGTTCCGAATGTTTTCTTACTTAGCACTTTTGGACTGTTCAAGATAATGAATTGAGGATCGAATCCTATGCAATTTCAGTCTGTTAAAAATACGAAAGCTTCAAATTATTCAGATTCAAAGCCTCTGTACATTCCAAAATGCAAAGTGAAGACGTACCTGTGATGTACGGGTTGCTTATTAGGCTTGTCATCATAAACCTCTTCGTAAAAAGGTCGGGTGATGAAACCTGGGTAGGAGTCTTCTATTTCAATATGATACTCAATCTGCAGAGCAAGTCTCTTGATTGTGGCTAACTTTTTAATTTTCTCGGTATCTCCAACGGCCAGACCAACCTGTGAAAAAACTTTGTTTCAGTGTCAAGGTATTTAGCACTGCTGTGCTAATTGGTCAGCAGCACCAGTAATGACGTAATCAGGCAACGCCCATGGTCATGTGACTAATTCTGAAAAATGTAAAGGCTCCAAAGCATGTTACCTTTGCGGAATTTTTTCCTTGATTTAATGATTTAACTTCCTTTTTATGCTATGCATAATTTTTGCTTCATTTCTAAAAGATCAGATTTTGAGAGAAGTTCAAAATTCCTAATTTTCTGAAAAAAGCATGATTTTACAAAAGGAATGTATAGCTTTCTTTCCAACATTGGTTAAATCGTAGCTCGTTGAAAAAAGCTGGGTTTACTGAAAAACCGCATTTCCTTTAGTATTTAAACAAACCGAAAGTGCCTGCGATATCTATCCGTAGTTATCCTATCAGCGCGTGCGCAGTTCACACTACCAGCGGCTCAGTAAGATCAAACGAAACACACGAAACCCACACAGACATGGTTTTTGCTTTTTTCTTTTGCGCTTGTTTTTCTGTTTTTCTCTTTGTTTTTGCTTGTATTTTTTAAACTTTGCATTTTTTGAAACTCAAAGAAAAGACAGCTAAAATGTAACCGAACGTGCAAGTTGTTGAGTTGTTGAAAGTTTCCGCGTTCAGACCACGAAAGGAACTGGAAGCTAAATTTCACCTCCTTAGCAACGTACGCGAGCGCGCGCATGAATCGGTTAATGGGCCCTTAAATCGAGAAACGAATATTGTAAATAAAACTAAAAACCTTTAAGAGGCTGTCTCTGTAAGAACCGACCACTGATTTTACTTCGAAAATTCGATTTTTCTCATAAACTGGGATTTCGAAGCCCTTACCTAGTCAATCACTAAAGTGAGTTTTGTTTCATTAAAAATTCCAATTGAAGTTTTCTAGGATTGATTGAAGTTCGGTCC